GTGGGCAGCAACCAGCTCAGTACAACAGAGCTGATCTACTGAAAAAACAAGACCAGGTGGCTTGTGGATCAAGGGAAAACATGAGATGAAGTGTTTTTTGTTTTCCAAACTTGTTCTTGCTCTCCCAAACATTAACATAAAAAGCTTTCCAGACTTCATTGCTTATATGAGGTTAATGAAGCCAAGAAGCTGCCAGTTAGAGGATATTAAAAACTACCCATGAGTCGATGAGGAGTGCAGAATTATTTGCTATAATGACTGCAGCTCCCCTCCGCCACACTTGCCAAGCATCCAGTGAAAGGAGCCTTTCCCCGAGAGCCACCCAGCAGCTCCACCCAAGGGCAGAATTGTACCCTTCTTGCTCCAAGGGGCTCTTGAGGACCAGGAGGACACAGGCCTGTTACAAATCACCACAGAAATTAGTAATCACCAGCTCAAGCACCAGCGACAACCCCATGCTACAGCTGTGGTAAGTTGTACACAGCTTAGCACATTCTCAGCATCCAGGTAGGATTAGGTGTGGATTCAGCACTCAGGCACGTTCAGATGCAGAAGATGCCACGGGCTGTATTCACAAAACAACTTTACCGCAAGGACTGCAATAAATACGGTATTCATATTGATGGTCATCCTCAGAGGTGGATTAACCCACCAGATTCTAGATGGCTCTGAGGAAGACTAGCACTCTCCTGTCTTCATTTTTGGTGAGGTGATTAGGAGTGCGTGAACAATTTGTCATCCAGCAGTGACACAGAAGACTCAAAACAGAAGCTGTTTTCAACCAAAAACTGATTAAGCAAATGGCAGTCAATGCTCAATGACAACAATTTTACCGATTTTTAACTCCACCAGCCTTTTCTGTGGGACAAAAAACCTGCAGAAGTTCTTGCAAGTTTTAAGATCCTCAAGCTTCTTGAAGCTACACAAGACCTATTAAAAATCTGAGTATGGATGCAAACTGTTTGGTAATACTGCCTGCTGACTGATTCCTACACTGCCAAGAGCTACCTTATTCCAAACAAATTTTATTAAACAGAAGGTGTTGGTTTTGACACACAAAACTGTAAGTTTTGTGAGAAAACAAAGAGTCAGTCAGGGCAAATGAAGTTGCTCAAGTAGTTCTATTAGGTCTTATTAGAGATGCTACAGCAGTTACTTCATATGGGCTTCCGTAGCCAGACAGCCAGTGCTGAATCCTCATTTGGCCTGCTCAAAGGGTATAAAGATGGTTAAGAAAGCTTAAAGACCATTAATTAATCACTCAGCACTGGGGCAAGGAAATTCTTTGTATAGATCTAGCCTGGTGACTGAAATCCTCCTTTGTGTTGTGAAGACAAGAGTAGTACAATGCTAATGGCACTGCAATATAGCCCAGCCATGCTTTGCTTTTCTCATGATTTGCTTTTGGATGTCTGAGAGATGTTGAGAAGACCTGACACAGTTCAACGAAAATCAAATGAAAACATGACACGAATAAGGGTGTTGCTATTTCTCCTAGCGCATGTTCAGAAGAGCCAACACTATTACCAAGAATTCCTTCCAGGAAGCAATAAAGGCAGCAGTGGGTGATTTATGAAGCCTTGGCAATTCATTCCTTGGCCCTAAAAATTGGAAACTGACACAACAATAATATTTCTTTCTTTAAAGGGAAATCATTCTCCCAGGCTTCCCAGCTCCCATCTATACCACACCTTTCTCACACAGTCCTGCATATGGTAAAGGACATGACTGTAGTTTATTAAACATGGAATAGCTCCTCTCTTAGGGCAACAGCGCGAGCTGTGGATTTCACTCAGGTTCATTCTAAGCTACTCTTGTCATGGCTGTAGACAGAATGGTATTGTTGTGTAGTGTACAAGAAAATGCCTTGAAAAAATAAAGTAGGTGCAATCTTGCAAATGCACTTGGCCCTTACAGAACACTGAGGATTCAGGTGGTGCTCTGTGAACGGATACAGAAAAACACAACCTTGCCACAGAGTCTGTCCAGCCATGATAAACATGGCTCACAAAAAATTAACACAAGCAGGTACAGTTGATAAGCATGAGGGTTTTTTCTTTGGCTCATTAGTTTTCTATCAATCAGATCAACGTGCTGCATTAAGACATGCTCCAGCCACACCAGGTGAGGTTCACTGAAGGGGAAGCTATGAAAAAACACCTTACAGAAAGGTGGGGGAGCAGGGCTGCTCCTTTTAGCATAAGCCTGCAGCTAGACTGGAGTAGTGTAACACAAAACCACGGAAGAACTGGCTTGCAGAAAAAGGAGGTCCTTGAGATTAGTTTATTGTCTCTCTCATTTATTGCTTTCTTTAGGCAGCTGTACTGGGATGTAGGAGACTGTCTGGCGTGAAAGTTCAGAGATGGAATAATTAGATTCAATGGCATGATTATGGATTTTATGTGTGAGGCACCTTTGATTGTGGAAAAAGTTAAAGCATGTTCTCCATAAAGCTTGGGAGGTTTCTCATAACATTAGTACAAGTAGGTAGATGAAGAGATGTTAAATTCCTAATTGTTTCTTTTATCTTTCCCGTGATAGAGACAGAGTTCTGTTTTAAAGACGTACCAAAACCCAGGTCTTTCATCTGGAGTGTAAAATTCATGTGTTCCCTGACCTCCTGTGTCACATGGTAATGAAACAACGTAAATCAGAAATGTTAAAAGTTGAAGTTTGTTAATATTACTGCTGAAGCTCCAGTCTCTTTCCTGGTTAAACTGACGGGTCCATAGTCCTAATATATATATTTACAGATTACAATGACACGAAGAAAAAAAATTAATGGACACCCAATGAGATACAAATGGAAATGGAACTTTCAGATGACTATCTGGGAATTAAAAAAAAAAAACAAAAAACAAAAAACACCACAAAAACAACTTGCATTTTAAATGGTGCAATGGACTTCCTTTGTATTGTACTACCACCTCACTCCTAAGAAATACTTTAGTGATTTACACTCTGTGGGGAAAATTTAGTAAATAACATACATTTTGCATTCTCTTATCTATGTTTCCTTCTCACTTTTTTAGCTGTCTGGGCTGGAGGAGTCACCAAGATAGAGGAATGTATCTTCCTTAGTTGAGGAAGACATTATATACTGGTATTTTGGGGTCAATAAACAAAAGAAGATGGACCCCTATCGGCCTCTCCATTTGTTGCCACCCTTGCCAGCCACTTCAGAACAACTGGCTAAATTTGACGTAGACCAGAGGTGGCAAGAGCTCACTAAGCAACACAAAGACTTTGGGGAGATTGGGCTAAGGCCAGTCCAGCCCTGGGACACAATCATCAAGGTGTTTGGTTTTTTTTTCAGGTGCCCACTGGCCTGGGATTTATTAAAAATAAAAAACAACTTCCCCCTTTACCTCTCTCTCCTCCCATAAAATCCGTGGGGAGTCTCAAAGAGAATCTGAAAACAGGGACATTTCCATATAGCTCATTTCACATAGAGAAGTCCAACTCATTAACTCAAAAAAGTCAAGAGTATGCCAAAGCATACTGCTCACTTGAGATAATCACAGGTAAGTCTCATATTGCAGCTTTTTCCCATATTAAATGGATTGTGAAAGCAACTGGAAACTAGTTCACATTCATTTATGTGAACTACTGCTCTCCAAATCTCACCCCACAAAAAACTCTACTCTTTCTTTAGCAGACGACAGAAAGGAAGCCAGTCTTGAAGGCAGAAGGTGAAATCCTGGCTCCATTGTATTCATTTGCCAAATCTGAATTAACTTCAACAGAGCCAGGATTTCCGCCATAGCTATAGTAAGCAGGGGACTGTCTAAATGGCAGAGTAGAAAACCAGGTAGTGGAGACTTTAGATCGCCACTGTGTATCCCCAAGCCAAGCACCACAGTAACACATGACATGCGAGTATTGCCTTGGCTGAGTTCGTAACGATCAGTCCAACTCAAAAGATTCATGTTATTACTGAAGTTTCTGCAGGTAATCCTCCTAACATAAGGAAGGAGAAATCAAACATAACAGAGATGAAGTGCTTCTTTCATCTTTACAGACAGTCTCTTGAGAACAGCTATCACTGCCACATCTGGTGATTCTGGAGCTACATCAATTTTATTTTCCTTTGTAACCTATTACTGACCTAATTTTCTCTAATACTGGCGCTATCCTGACCGTCCTGCTTCATGCTGCTGTAAAGGTACCTCTTCAAGTGAGAGGGACTGAGTCAGTGTGAATTGAGGGGAAAAAACAAGGAAAAAACCCGAAATTCTTCATCAGAATGAACACAAGCAGCCAGAAATAAGAAAGAACACATAAACAACAACTGAATCTGTGCAGAACAATGCAGTGATTGAGAGAATTCAATCAGCACTTCTTCGGGCACCAAATTTAGGGCCGTAATTCCCACAATACTTCTAAAGAGTATTCTTCATGCGAGACACAAAATTTATTATTTCTTTCTTAATCCTTGCCTCGGTTCCTACCCCGCTCTCCATGTGTGCTAACTGGGATGCATGAAAATTCAGTAAGTAATGCAATTTTCCTGGGTTTTGTTTTCTGAAGTGCTTGAATTCTAATAGAGCATCTACTTTTTTTGCCATTATCAGATACAATGCTGTAGCATGGATGCAGCAGCGCTGCCCGGGATCCAGATCTTAAAGCTACCTGGGCGTAAGACTAATAGCCAAAACTCTTATCTGTGAGTGCAGTGAAAGACTGTGTTACAATTACTTGTCATGGCTGTATAAGAAGAAGAGGAGAAAAAAAAGAATTACTACTTTTTACAGTCAATTACCTATTTTACCAGAATGTTATGTTACTATCTTATTTACTAAAATTTTTTATCTTTACTGTAAGACTAATTGTACTACAGCATTATTATTTACATTGCTTCTCATGTACCCCTTTTCAATTTTAACAAGTTAGATGATCTTATACAATTACATAAGTACTGGAATATACACAAGATTACAGGGGAACACAGCACATAAACTGAGAGACAGAAATCTCAAAACTATATTTAGCATACTCACTTGAATAAAGGAGTCCCACAAACAACACATTTGTATATTCCTTGAGCTTTATGATGTGTGTACTCTCCCTCAAAGGCACTGGGAAAACAACAACACTACATTTTAAAAATAAATAAAGGAATTTCGGAGCTTTTAAATTACTAAATTAGCTAAGACTTTAGGAAAATGTACAGAAAAAACCCATGAATTAAAAGTCAGCAGTTGTTTTTTATTAAAGGCAGCGAATAAAGCAGGCACAGGAAAAGGAGAACATCCTCATTAGCATGCCTCACGTGTTATGTATCATGCATGAGGAAACGAATTGTCCGACAGTTCAAAGGACAGAACAACAACAACAACAAAAAGGGAAAAAAATGGAATCTTCCCCTGTTTGGGGAGCGAAATGTAAGTTTTGGCACACGGCTCAGCCTGAGGCGCT